AACAGTTATAATTTGTATGTACACTCACTAATTAGTCGCCCTCATATCACGATGTGCGTTCTTTACCCATGGATTTCTTATATTTAGAACTTCTAAATTAAGGACAACGGTATAAAATATTGATAATTAAATTATGTTGAAAAAGGCCTTCTAAGAAAGATCTAAATTTAACATCACAAATATTCGATGACGATGCCGTAATTTGCGTTTCGGAAGTCCTCTAACGATATCGTAGGTCGTTGCAATGCAATCGATGTCATCTAAATAGACTACCCGACACCGGTGCGCTTCGGTAATCTCTGTAGTATATACGTCTCTGGGTATACAGCATGTATACGTGCCAGGGAGCCGGGCCCCGTGTCCTGTTGTATAGCCCCCGCCATCTATCACGGCCCGTGTGATAGGCGACCATCATTGGACAGGACCTTGTCGGTGACGAGGCAATTTCTTCTACACGCGAGTGTACAAGTGAACTGCATAAACTAACAATTTCCCCAAATTTGGGATCTCATCAATGGCATTGCACACAAAAGTGATTTAAGCATTTGTGATATCGTTGTAATGTGGAATTGTCATGAAACAATATGGGAAGCCATCCGGCGGGAGCTGGGCGTTCTGCTCCACTATCCATTGTTCATTTCGTCCGATGATTTACATAATTTTTCACTTGACATCTGATGTATCGAGGCAATTATCAAGAAATTTGCGGCTCTGAGCCGACTCCCGAGGGTCCCTTGATCGTTATGGCACATCAGTATGGGCCCTAGATAGCCCGCCACGTCCTCCAATGGCCGACCGTGATAAAATAATATCTTACGATGAAAGTTGTATCTGTCGGCCTTGGCGGAACCCATTACGCGAGCCAGCAGAAGCCGGGTCGCCATTACGTCTTCACACCTCCCCCCGCTCACAAAACTCACGTTAAAATGCCGATTTTTCACCATCAGATGCTGTCGACATTTTATTTCCAATAGTTTCCGCCGATCGTTGTCACTGAGATATCCCTGACTACCGCTGACTTTGATTCAGAGAGTTGCATTCCAGTTCACACCTCATCTCCTCCGCAAAATAGAGTCTGACGTTCAGATACCGTTTTTTAATATTCATTCTCTAGATCCTTGTCAGTATTTAATAGCGATTGTAAAAGACTGTGAGCCTAGAGCATGCTTTGATCAAATTGTCCACATAAAGACGAATTATCATCCGACACATTTATAATGGCCATAATACCATCTACGCCTAGCCTTGGTTTTGATTGCGTAAAATACACAAATTGCTTCCTTATAAAGCCGTCCTTTATTAAACAAGATTTTGTTGATATCCGCTTTTATTTGTTATACGTTAGCGGTCCAGTGTATTCTATGACAAGCGACCGCTTTACACTCAGTCCCATCTTCAAATGTTCCAAATCGACACTAACTTTACTTCAATTATATGTAAGTTTTATTGGTCGAGTTACTTGGATCTGGTTTATTTTATATGCGTGGTGCTCCAGTCAGCCCGGCGATGAATCACCTCAAACATTGCAGTACAAACCTATCTGTGTCTCTATCACGGTGTTCTATCTGTTCCCCTGTCCATCGTCACTGACCACACCCAATACACGGAGCTGTGAGAGTTGTCTCCCATTGGATGCTCGATTCCTCAGACTCAAGTCCTGCAAGCGAAATATAATAGATTCAAACATTTAATAGATTCAAGCAGTTGAGTTAAATACTTTAATAAAAAAAAAATCAAATGTTCGACATTTCATATTCCACACCTCTCTTCGTATGTTCAACCAGAGACTTATATACTAACTTGGTCTGTTACATCTTGTTGCCAAGGATTGATAGATTTAACCCTCTTTTTTTTACCTGATAACCTATCATTAAGAGAATGTTTGATACGCCGTGTTTTGGTTGCCCATTCCTTGGAAATTCCAACTTCTCTATATTGCTTGAACTTACCTTTGTTACCTGACCTTGACATTAGCACTGTCAGTGTTGCTTAACCTCTGACGCTTGGAATGTCCTTTGTTGTTTGACCTTGGTGACATAATTGTACATAACGTCACCTGTATAAATGACCTTGTCAATGGGGGTAGTAGCCTCTGATTCGTGTGCCATGTCTCTGTGTCCATAACCTACCTCCGTTGATTTGTACCGGTCGTTTGACCGTACCTTTATTACATTACCTGGTTTATATCATTCTATCCTACCTTTGCGCCATCGTACAGGTTTGATAACCATCTACTGCCTATTTCCAAGCGTTCATTTTTCGTAATATTATATTCCCGTTGCTTGACCATTCCTTGATTGCATGACCATTCCTATTTTACATCTTTTATTGCATAACATCGCAACAATATTTGCTTGCATGCACACTCATTGATTCTGATGGATATAAATGAATATTCATAAAACATCACATGTCTATACTCTATATGTATTGTCGATTAAATTGTTTTCATAATTGACTAAAGTCATCGAGGTACTATTACTAAACACAAACGCGAATAACCCGGAATGCAAACTCATTTAATTCCACAAATTCTTGATTTGTATTCAATATTAGATTTCAATCTCCGGCACGTGTTTTGATTATAGGTCAGACCCCGTTCGTGTCCCTTTTGACCCTGACCCCGGCTGTCGCCGCCCCCGGGAGCGACCATGTTCTTCAGTACAGATCCGTGTCCGCACTCCGGGAACATACTCACTCTGGACGGCTAACACGCAAAAACAGAATTTCCACTTAATCGGTAATTTCTCACTTCACTTTAATCGCGGGCCTGTCTGAATGAAATGATTCTGACTTCTCATGCACAGAGCCATTTTGTTATACCAATGGGAAACATAACGGAATAATCAATTTCAGAGAGAAATCAGATTCGTTTATTTATGCAGTTTTTCACTCGATTGTGTCCGTGCGGTATCATCACTGCGTCCTCTTATCTTGCGCTCATTTCTGATACAGGCCGCGCGCGCGAGAGTGTCGTCTGCCCATCTCCCACCTCCAACATCCCGTTTTGATGTCCTTCCTCGTTCCCATTTTATTTATAACCGTAAATATCGTGCAAAAGGCTACCAATTGTTGTAATGAATTGATTGATTCATAAAAATGATTGAGATCATTAAGAATAATTACCCTCGTTTGTATAATCACTTTTATCTTAATTTCCCTCTATTTAATGCATTTGATATTCTCCATTAAAATTCTTGGTTCCAAACTTTCGATAACTGACGACATAACACTATATATTTATGGATGTAATTCTCTAAGGTATTGCCTCTAATGAAAGCCGCTTCACACATCCCCTTATCATGTCCATACCGCGGAGGAATTCGATCTCGGGTGAAGTCACGTCCAACATTACCTCTGACTGACGACGCTGACTGACAGCGCGTGCACGAGAATGTCGTAACTAACCACAAATAGAGGGAGATTAGGGGCTAGTTATCTGAAACTGTCTAAATATCCAAACAATATTCCGGTTATCACAGAATGTCTGAACATTATAATACGAAAATTAAATCAATATTTGCCATTTAGTTGTATTTGACTAATGTAGATTTGACAGTTAATTTTAGTGGGTATCGTTATGTTGCCATGTTCTTAAAATCCGACAGAGCATTTAGATAAATGACTCTGATTAATGAAAACTTGGTCACACAATCAAACTGTATCATCAGCTTAAACTGCATTTCCAAGTGATGTTCTGTCCTGAAATCATACTCAGTTTATTCATCAATTAAGTTATCATTTGGACACTGGTAAACTGCGATTCGATAGAAACCAGGTTAATTTGTATCGAAGTTCATTAGATTAAGTCGAATCGAATTGTCAAGTTTATACTTAATGTATATATACGCAGAAATACGCGTACTTTGTTCTGTATTATATGAAAGTAAATATTTAAATCACAGGATATATATTACAGTTTTAATAATTATGATTCGACTGAGTTCTGTACATAACCCGATTTTATTTGGTTTCAAAATGTCTGAAAATAAAAACTGTGAACATTTATAACATATCAGTTTAAAGATGTTCGCTTGCGGTGTTGTTAATGCGCCTCTGAAACAATGATCCTGCTAGAACCACAAAGAGATGTCATGTTAACACATGCCAACATCCTAAATCATTACACCAGGCACGCTTCACGAAGGAGAATGCGAACCAACAAACCACAAGATGACACAGGGCACACAACAAGGAGAACGCTCACCAACAAACCACAAGATGACACAGGGCACACAACAAGCAGAACGCGCACCAACACACCACAAGATGACATAGGGCATACAGCAATAATGAGCACAACAAACCACAAGATGACACAGGGCACACAACAAGGACAATGCGCACCAACATATCAGTTTAAAGATGTTCGCTTGCGGTGTTGTTAATGCGTCTCTGAAACAATGATCCTGCCAGAACCACAAAGAGATGTCATGTTAACACATGCCAACATCCTAAATCATTACACCAGGCACGCTTCACGAAGGAGAATGCGAACCAACAACCCACAAGATGACACAGGGCACACAACAAGGACAATGCGCACCAACATATCAGTTTAAAGATGTTCGCTTGCGGTGTTGTTAATGCGTCTCTGAAACAATGATCCTGCCAGAACCACAAAGAGATGTCATGTTAACACATGCCAACATCCTAAATCATTACACCAGGCACGCTTCACGAAGGAGAATGCGACCCAACAAACCACAAGATGACACAGGGCACACAACAAGGACAATGCGCACCAACATATCAGTTTAAAGATGTTCGCTTGCGGTGTTGTTAATGCGTCTCTGAAACAATGATCCTGCCAGAACCACAAAGAGATGTCATGTTAACACATGCCAACAGCCTAAATCATTACACCAGGCACGCTTCACGAAGGAGAATGCGAACCAACAACCCACAAGATGACACAGGGCACACAACAAGGACAATGCGCACCAACATATCAGTTTAAAGATGTTCGCTTGCGGTGTTGTTAATGCGTCTCTGAAACAATGATCCTGCCAGAACCACAAAGAGATGTCATGTTAACACATGCCAACAGCCTAAATCATTACACCAGGCACGCTTCACGAAGGAGAATGCGACCCAACAAACCACAAGATGACACAGGGCACACAACAAGCAGAACGCGCACCAACACACCACAAGATGACATAGGGCATACAACAAAGAGAACGTGCACCAACACACCACAAGATGACATAGGGCATACAACAAGGAGAACGCGCACCAACACACCACAGGATGACATAGGGCATACAACAAAGAGAACGGGCACCAACACACCACAAGATGACATAGGGCATCCAACAAGGAGAACGCGCACCAACAAACCACAATATGACACAGGGCACACAACAATGAGAACGCGCACCAACAAACCACAAGATGACCCAGGGCACACAACAAGGAGAACGCTCCCCAACACACCACAAGATGACGCAGGGCACGCTTCACAAAGGAGAACGCGCACGAACAAACCACAAGATGACACAGGGCACACACCAAGGAGAACGCTCACCAACAAACCACAAGAGGACACAGGGCACACAACAAGGAGAACGCGCCCCAACAAACCACAAGATGACACAGGGCATACAACAAGGAGAACGCGCACCAACACACCACAAGATTACACAGGGCACACAACAAAGAGAACGCGCACCAACACACCACAAGATGACACAGGGCACGCTTCACGAAGGAGAACGCGCACCAACAAACCATAAGATGACACAGGGCACACAACATGGAGAACGCGCACCAACAAACCACAAGATTACACAGGGCACACAACAAGGAGAACGCGCACAGACAAACCACAAGATGACACAGGGCACACACCAAGGAGAACGCGCACATACAAACCACAAGATGACACAAGGCACACAACAAGGAGAACGCGCACCAACACCCCACAAGATGACATAGGGCATACAACAAAGAGAACGTGCACCAACAAACCACAAGATGACATAGGGCATACAACAAAGAGAACGTGCACCAACAAACCACAAGATGACACAGGGAACACAACAAGGAGAACGCGCACCAACAAACCGCAAGATGACACAGGGGACACAACAAGGAGAACGCGCACCAACAAACCACAATTTAACACAGGGCACACAACAAGGAGAACGCGCACCAACCAACCACAATATGACACAGGGCACACAACAAGAAGAACGCGCACCAACAAACCACAAGATGACATAGGGCATACAACAAAGAGAACGTGCACCAACACACCACAAGATGACATAGGGCATCCAACAAGGAGAACGCGCACCAACAAACCACAATATAACACAGGGCACACAACAAGGAGAACGCGCACCAGCAAACCACAAGATGACACAGGGCACACAACATGGAGAACGCGCACCAACAAACCACAAGATGAAACAGGGCACACAACAAGGAGAACGCTCACCAACACACCACAGGATGACACAGGGCACGCTTCACAAAGGAGAACGCGCACCAACAAACTACAAGATGACACAGGGCACACAACATGGAGAACGCGCACCAACAAACCACAAGATGACACACGGCACACAACAAGGAGAACGCGCACCAACACCCCACAAGATGACATAGGGCATACAACAAATAGAACGTGCACCAACACACCACAAGATGACATAGGGCATCCAACAAGGAGAACGCGCACCAACAAACCACAATATGACACAGGGCACACAACAATGAGAAGGCGCACCAACAAACCACAAGATGACACAGGGAACACAACAAGGAGAACGCGCACCAACAAACCACAATTTAACACAGGGCACACAACAAGGAGAACGCGCACAGACAAACCACAAGATGACACAGGGCACACACCAAGGAGAACGCGCACATACAAACCACAAGATGACACAAGGCACACAACAAGGAGAACGCGCACCAACACACCACAAGATTACACAGGGCACACAACAAGGAGAACGCGCACCTACAAACCACAAGATGACACAGGGCACACACCAAGGAGAACGCTCACCAACACACCACAAGATGACATAGGGCATCCAACAAGGAGAACGCGCACCAACAAACCACAATATGACACAGGGCACACAACAATGAGAACGCGCACCAACAAACCACAAGATGACCCAGGGCACACAACAAGGAGAACGCTCCCCAACACACCACAAGATGACACAGGGCACGCTTCACGAAGGAGAACGCGCACCAACAAACCATAAGATGACACAGGGCACACAACATGGAGAACGCGCACCAACAAACCACAAGATAACATAGGGCATACAACAAGGAGAACGCGCACCAACAAACCTAAATATGACACAGGGCTCACAACAAGGAGAACGCGCACCAACAAACCACAAAATGACACAGGGCTCACAACAAGGAGAACGCGCACCAACAAACCACAATATAACACAGGGCACACAACAAGGAGAACGGGCACCAACAAACCTAAAGATGACACAGGGCTCACAACAAGGAGCACGCTCACCAACAAACCACAAGATGACACAGGTCACACAACAAGGAGAACGCGCACCAACAAACCACAATTTAACACAGGGCACACAACAAGGAGAACGCGCACAAACAAACCACAAGATGACACAGGGCACACACCAAGGAGAACGCTCACCAACAAACCACAAGAGGACACAGGGCACACAACAAGGAGAACGCGCATCAACAAACCACAAGATGACACAGGGCACAAAACAAGGAGAACGCTCACCAACAAACCACCAGATGACACAGGGCACACAACAAGGAGAACGCTCACCAACACACCACAAGATGACACAGGGCACGCTTCACAAAGGAGAACGCGCACCAACAAACCACAAGATGACACAGGGCACACAACACGGAGAACGCGCACCAACAAACCACAAGATGAAACAGGGCACACAACAAGGAGAACGCGCCCCAACAAACCACAATATGACACAGGGCACACAACAAGGAGAACGCTCACCAACACACCACAAGATGACACAGGGCACGCTTCACGAAGGAGAACGCGCACCAACAAACCATAAGATGACACAGGGCACACAACATGGAGAACGCTCACCAACAAACCACAAGATGACACAGGGCACACAACAAGGAGAACGCGCACCAACAAGTCACAAGATGACACAGGGCACACATCAAGAAGGAGACACAGGGCACACAACACGAAAGAGAATGCGCGCCAACATACAACAAGAATACACCGGGTGGTGGGTACGCATAAAGGAGAATGCGCGACAATGCAGAACAAGAATTCACCAGGTACGCATCAAGGAGAATGCGGGCCAACATTGAAAAGGAGAATGCGCTCAAACATACCACACGATGACACAGGGCACATATCAAGACGGCGAACGCATGCAAACTTACAACAAGATGACGCAGGTTATGCATAAAGAAGGAAAATTGCGCGCCAGCATACAATAAGAACGCACCGGGTAGGCATCGCGAAGGAGACCGTGCGCCAAGGTATCACACGATGAAACGGGTAACATATCAAGAAGGAGACCGTGCGCCAAATTACCAAATAATGACACCAAGCTCGCATCAAGAAATAGAACGCGTTACAGGCACGCACATTGACAAAAAAGGAGAACACGCGCAAACTTATAACATGATGACACCGGGTATGTAGCAGGAGAATAAGCGCCAACATACGACAATAAAACACCGGGTACGCATCACGAAATATAACGCGCGCCAACATGCCACATGATGACAACGGGCATGCATCACAAAAGAGAAGGGAGATGTGTGATAACGAGACAACAATACTTACTTTTCTTTATTGACAGCATTAACCTTTTCCATCTGACGATCAAAACAGACTTGGCTTTGAAGCTTATTTTTTTATGAACATCTCTCTTCATCATATTGTCATATACCCTGGTAGGTTAGTTGTTTTTAACAGATGCATCGATTTTACTGGTACACAATTTTGAATTTATTTGGTTTTTGCTGTAAACGTCGTTGTTGAGGTCCATACTTTCTAGAGCGGTTTGTTATGTAATATTTGTCCTGTTGTCTAATTTTTCCAATTTGCTTTGGAGTTTTTGTAAAATGCATTTATTTTGTTTATACTCGTTCAACAGATGGCATATCATAAAATGACGCCATGCGCGCATGACTGCAAAGCTTTCACACGATGACGCCAGGAGCGTTCATCAAACTTAATCAGCGTTCAAGACGTTTTGAATTTGCGCTAGTGTTGTAGATTTTTTGTACATGAGCATAACATCGGCCTACACGTGCCGTGTCCAGATAACACCACAAAAAAAGAAAGAAATTATATGTCTCGTTATTGCTTTTGTTTCCAATTACTTGTGTTTTCTCCTGGTTTTATTCGAGTTCTGTACTGATGGACCGCGCGGGTTCGATCTATATTGTCAATGTCACGCCGGTGCTTAGGTTCGCGTGAACTTTGACCCCATGCGGATACATTATTGACTATTACGCATCCATCATTTTGTATTCAATTCTCAATTTATTTATCGTTGTAATTTTGACCAGCTTCTTTCTTTTTGATCCAATTTGTCAAAATTGTAGCGAAAAAACAATTGAATTTTTACACATTTCTAATCTATTTTTAGTAATAATTTCCAAGCATTCACGTCTGCGATATTGATCGTTCATATAGAACATTTCAATGTAAGTTAATAACCGACAAAGCCTTTGCTGGTAATTATTTGAATTTTTATTTGGGCATTTCAATATTGAGTACCCATAGACAGGGCTGCGAGCCTTGTGGTGATGTAATACATACAGGTATGTACTCCCTGGTCCAGCCAGACGAACGCGCGCGCACAGCCATCATGTGGTCAGTTGACCTGCAACTTATAGGTACACCATACGTGTACTATCACAGGGCTATGGTCAACGGTCAACGGTCCGAAATTGTCGTCAAACTAGAACCCCATATCTTCATAAGGAAGTAATTTTCTCGGTATATGATCAAAATCAATTACTTATTTAATAAAGAATATATAACTTTGAAGATGGCTGTTTCAAATGATTTCCAAATGATTCATGCTGTCGCAAATGATGACATACAAAACTACCCAAGAAAAGTTAAACTACCATTGTACATGCATAAATGTTTTCACAAATTGAATTACGTAACCTAAAGTTTAGTCGACTGACTCAGAGAATATATCCCCTGTTTCCAACCTTCAGGAAGTATGAAGGAAGTCGTCCAAATCAAAATGGGCTTATGATTATACTTGTCTTAGCTAATCAGAGACAACGGCGGTAATATTTATTTCTGATTCTTTTTAAAACATTGATGCTGTTAATTATCATATTATCATATCAGACGTTATCTGAGATAACGTGGAAACTTTTACGGCTGAAGGTAGTATATCCACAAGATTTGTCTCCGTGTGATAGTACTACTATATTAGTATAACATATCAATTTGTCAGCCATAGTGTGAATTAAAACTGCCTTTTATAGTTCAATTATTGACTGATTCTTTAATGCAGTTGGCATTCATAGTGATATTTTAGCCATCAGAAACCAGCACAATCTATGAATGCCGAATGGAAATTTCAATTTGCGCAAGGTGCATTGTGTTCGCGTGATGACATCTCTGACGCATACTGGACAAATGTTAATAACACGATAAAGTACAATTTGTTAAAAAGAATTCACTGAAAACTAATTGTAAGAAAATCGATTTTCTGTAATATTGAGATGTTCTTAAAATGATACATATTCGACAATAACTTCATGAAAACGTATCACACAATTACACTTTATGTATCTCAGTGTGTAAATATGTACTTCTCCGTAGATCTTTGAAACGTGACTCAGGATAAAACGATGTGATTTACAATGAACGTAATACTTCTGTCATTCTACCGTTTCCAAAGCATCGATGACTAACACTAGTTAAATAAACTCTAATAATTAAACAATATGAGAAACGGTAAACGAGTTTTAAAATACATTTTCTTCGTTCTGGAATAGTTTTGGAATTTCTGATGATTCACACGACAATTAAATCAGTTAGCCACTGGTGTATATTATGCAGCATTGCCTTTATGATAAACTATCCTCATTGTGACGGTTAGCGATATTGATAGAGACACACTACTATAGATACCGGTCATTCTTTGATAACTTCGTCAGATTTTCTCTTTCAATGTTAACAATGCGACTAATTTGATGAGTAAGTGTCTGTTTTCTCCGATCTGAGGATAGCGTCGTCCATTGTCCGTCCCTCCATTGACGACAACGTGAGAACCCAACTGGTTACTTTACTTAATCGAGAAACAAAGACACACAAAACCGCAGAAAAGACAAATTTTAAAAGTGTCTATTATTTACGATTGTCTTCCCAACACCGCTGTTTAAGGTTTTCACCTGTAAAATATAAATATATCACAGATGACATCATCGGGCCCCCGCTTCATCACACACGTGTTGTGTCCGGATCTTGATAGTTATAACCTATAGCATGTTACACGCCATTAGATCTAGTGATTTTACTTCAACTGTATACGGTCAGGGGAAAGTCTGGTGCGACACTCGATTCATCTGCTTGGGCGGCACACCTCAGTGGCCTTGGCTCTGGTAAACTTATCTTAATACATATAAATAACAAAATCAAATGAATTATTGAGTTAGACTTCGATAGCGTTAGAATATATTATCAAGGAAATAACTGGAGATGCCATTTTAAAACAAATTTATATGAACTTAAATCCGACAATTACAGATTAGTGATATGATCGTTTTTAGATAACAATCTTCAAAAACGAGGAGTCTTATTACAAGGGCTGTTTTATATGACCTCCGGTGATTTTTGATCAACTTCAAGATCGCCTTTGAACAAATTCTTGGAATAATAAATAGAAATTAAGTTGTATTTAGGTAATCATATTGAATTGCGGTTATGATATTTTGAAATATACATAATGTCAAAATTACAAGAGATTTCACGGGATTTTGATTTTCAATATGAATATTTGAGATATGATACGGTATGATTGGGCCAAAGGAAACAGACGAGGGCTACCTATTATCGCGCGAGGGGTTCCGGGTCAGCAGAGATCTAAACTGAACACAGACATAGGATATAGTGTCAAAATTAAGATTCAAAGCAAGGTTATTTTGTGGCGTATTAACCATTATGTGTGTTAGATTTGATACAGTGTTAACGATAAGTCTCGATGTTTTATAACGAACGGATAATTGGTCG